TCCAAAACTATATTAAAAATAAAAATAAGGCCCAGGAAAATTTTTATCTTTATAAACAAAAAAAAATAAATATAAAAAAGAGAAACCACTCGGTCCGTCAGTACTTGTTTGGCCTCCTATTTCGGTTTCTATTTCCCACCCATCTTCCTACTGCTGCTAGTACGTATTCTTTGTATTTCTACTGCTGTAACTATTTACACAAACACTGACAGAGGAGGAGGCCGAGATCTGGTGGAATCGGCCCTTCTCTTTCCATGGCGTCGCCGCGCATCCTCCCTTCCTCCCCGCTCCAAAAGCTTGCCACCTTCAAGGACCGCCCGGCCCCCACCACCGCCGCCTCTCCCCGACCGCCACCCGCCCCCGACGCCTCCTCCTCCCCTCTCGACGCCTTCGCCTCCGACCCCGTCTTCTCCGCCTTCCTGTCCCCCGACTTCGACTCCGCCCGCTTCTCCTCCCAGGCCCTCAGCTCCGGCTCCGCCGCCGCCCTTGCCGAGTCCCTCCAGGACGCCGTCCACCTCCTTCAGGGTCACCTCCGATCCGAGGTCCTCGCCCGCCACCCCGCCCTCCTCTCCCAGCTCGCCTCCCTCCGCTCCGCCGAGTCCTCCCTCGCCGCCGTCCGCTCCGGCGTCGACGCCCTTCAGTCCTCCCTACGCCGCGCCCGCCAAGATCTCGCCGAGCCTCGCCGTGTCGTCCGCACCCACACCCTCCAGCTCTCCAACCTCCACGCCGCCGCCGACCTCCTTGCATCTGCCGCCCGCCTCTTACGCCTCTCCCGCAGGCTCCGCGATCTCGTCGCTGTGGGGCCTCCCGATCGCCTTGACCTCGCCAAGGCTGCGGAGATGCACCGTGAGATCGAGCTCCTCTACCAGGAGCGCGGCCTCTCTGGGATCTCCGTCGTCGAGGAGGAGATCCGTTGGCTTTCGGAGACCGGGAACCGGCTGCGTGCCGAGGCGATGAAGGCCGTCGAACGGGGCATGGATGAGTCCAACCAGAACGACATCTGGTGCGGCCTCCAGGTGTTCTACAACCTAGGCGAGCTCAGATCCGCTGTCGACACCCTCGTCAGCAAGTACAAGGGGGTGGGTGTCAAGAGCGTTGGCGTGGCGCTTGACATGAAGACGATCTCGACATCATCAGGGGGTTTTGGACCCGGCGGGGTGCAGAGGAGCGGGACACCGCAGATTGGGGCAGGGAAAAGGGCTGCGGAGGCTCTGTGGGAGCGGATGGGAAGGTGCATGGACGAGCTTCACAGGGTTGTGACGGCGGTGTGGCAACTTCAGACCGTGCTATCGAAGAAGAGGGTGCCATTCACGCAGGTCCTCTTCCTCCATGAGGTCTGGCAGGTGAGTTGATTTCTCTCTCGGATCAGGCCATTTCTCCCGAGCTTTTGATTACGAATTTGGCTTGTTTATAAATGCTTTTAGTAGATCAATCTGCTTACTTCTTTATCTGTTGCATCTCACGACCTTCAATTATGAAACTGTCATAAAATTGGCAAAATTGTTGCGCTTACTCCTGTGTTGTATGGTTATTGTGGATATCTTAGTTAGTAAAGTGTCTTCTGATCCTGCGGCCACTTCTGTGGTTATGTACTGTTCAAAACCTGCCTACGTAAACCTCTTTTGTAGGAAAAGAAATCCTTTTTGCATGTCTGTGTTGCCTCTGAAATTTTTACTATAGTGTTCCAATCAAATGCATAATTGATATAAAATCAATTTTAGGCATTTTCTTCATCAGATTGAACTAGACAAAGTCAATTGCACCCTTTTATCTGTCTCTAGGTCTCACCCTGCTAGATTAGTTGATCTAACCTTTGGTGTGAAATTGAGTTTGATAAAAACTATCAACCTGATCTCAGTCGGGGTGTCTTGTTATGCTATTCACAGAGAATGTCATTCAGAAACTTGAAATATAAAACAAGTGGTTACCTAACACTTCCCCCTTTCGTCTATATTGAAGCAACAAATCTTCCCTGCCTCTTTCCTGATGTCGTTCTTTATGCTTCCATTTTGTTCCCTTCTCTAAGCTGAATTCTTTAAATATGTAATAGACTCATCAATTACCTTTAAAGTAAGGTGCAGACTCTGCAAAATACCTTTGTTGGTCCCGAAATTTGACAAGAAGCTTTTAGCATCTCATGGCTCTTGGAACATGACAAGTTTGTGTTGTAGTAAGTTGCACTTTCTTTTTTGTTCTTCCTGAGTTCTATGTCATCTGATGGACTTCTTTTTCTAATGGATTTTAGTTATACTGATTCTTTTTGACTAATTGATCCTGAATTATCTTTTTCTCTTATTGGATGTTGTGTAGGAGGGTGATCCTCTATTAACAGATCGGGTCTGGGAAGCACTTGTCAAAGCTTTTGCAAGCCAAATGAAATCTGCTTTCACAGCATCTAGTTTTGTCAAAGAGGCATTTACACATGGGTATCCGAAGTTGTTCTCTATGATTGAGAATCTTCTTGAAAGAATCTCAAGAGATACTGATGTTAAGGGGGTTCTACCAGCTCTCAACCCTGAAGGGAAGGAACAACTGGTTGCTACCATTAACATATTCCAGACATCATTTCTAGCTCTATGCTTAAGTCGTCTCTCAGATAGTGTAAATAGCATATTCCCTGTGTCTAGCCGTGGAAGTATTCCCTCCAAGGACCAGATCTCTAGAATTGTATTGCGTATCCAAGAAGAGATTGAAGTTGTGAGAATGCATGGGCACCTTATGCTTCTTGTTTTACATGAAATTGGCAAAGTTCTGCTCTTGTTAGCTGAGAGAGCTGAATACCAGGTAAATGATTTCCAAAATCCAAGACCATTTGAATGATATTTACTTGTGTACATGTTTTTTCTTCAATGTCTGAATCTTATGCTTAAGTTCACAAATGTGAATTTTGGATACCTGTGATGCTTCCATTTGTTTCTGGGATATGCAGTTGAATGTAGGTTCTAGAAATCTTCTAGTATACTACCTTGAGATAATGTTTAATTTCCTTTCTGTTTTCACTATCCAGAGTATGTCCTGATTATTAAGTTATCTGATTACTCTGTTCTTGAAGTTTTGATACTGTTGGCTTTTGGACATCGAGGAATTTAAGACAGCTGCCACATATTAGAAAGTTCTCACTTGCTTTTTCCCATTCCTCTAAGGCTGATATAAGGGTCACAAGTTGTAATCCATCAAAATTCCAGAAAAGCAACTGCTTTGTTATTTTATCTACATTCTGAAAACCTCGAGGACAACTGGACAAGCTAATGAGTATAATCTATAACTTAGCAGTTATGGATTTATTATGACGTGCTTATATAAGAAAGGTAGAAGTCAAGTTTGTAAGTAGGTAACCATTTTTTTATCTCTGTCCTGTATCACAAAGTGAACTCAAAATTAAAGTTTTTGTTTTGCAAATAAGGAAAATCTACTAAGAAGCATAACATTCGATTTAATGAATCTTTTTTTGGTTCTTCATTGTTAAATGATCTAGGAAATATAGACTATCAATTCGATGCATGATCATTTGCATACATAAAATCTAATAATTAGATTCATATGTGTTAAAGTATAATAAATGTAGAAATTGCAGTGAAAGACATGCCATCTATTATTTTCCCTTGATGCCAAGCCAAGTCCTGTAAAAGACAAAATTGCTTAGTCTTTACGTCTCCAGATGATTCATCACTCGTTGCCATTCATACGAAATTAGATTGTTGTGCTTCTTATTGGTATTAGATAAATTTATTTCCTTAAATGTTGCAATTTTGTGAACATGAGTGAGACTTTAGTGTTACTTTTCATACCCAAAATCTGGATAAATTATGATTTGTCTAGTAGTTGCACATTTAAAAAATATTGTCAGGACATGATGCAGAGGAAGTGAATTGATGCAATTCAGCCTAATTAATTTTAAATTGAGGTCAACAGTGTGGTATGTTCTTGTTTTTCTATAGAAATTAATTTCTTAGTACTATTGAAAAGGCTAATTTAATCTGCTTTGAGCGCCAACAATTGGAATTCTAAGTAGGTCTGATTGAAGGAGATATAGCTGATAGATGTTAAAGTGATTAGATTTATTGCAATATAATACTTTTGCTTTCATTTTTTATGCACTAGCTTTGTTTTGTTTTGGATAGTCTCAAAGGAACTCAAGTTTGAGGGCTTATGGGATCAACCATTTCTATTAGATTTGGTTGTTGATTGACTAATAACGAGTAGGACTATCTGAGGGTATTACATAATCAACCTTCTTTTGCTTTAGTTAATTTGTCAGAAGTTTCATCTAATGCTTTTATATTTTTTGACTTTTAGATATCCACTGGTCCTGAAGCTCGCCAGGTTATGGGTCCTGCAACTGCAGCCCAAATCAAGAATTTTTCCCTTTGCCAGCATCTGCAGGAGATCCATGCACGCATTACAAGCACTACATCTTCACTTCCAACCATAGCCTCAGATGTCCTGTCACCTTCGCTTGGTGTCATCTATGGAGTTGCATGTGACTCAGTAACCTCATTATTCCAAGCGATGCTTGATCGCCTGGAATCTTGCATCCTGCAAATCCATGATCAAGACTATGGAGCTGAGGGGATGGATGTGTCCATGGATAACAATGCCTCTAATTACATGGATGAGTTGCAGAAATGCACACTTCATTTCCGGAATGAGTTCCTGTCCAAACTTCTGCCTTCTTCTGCTGCTCGTTCTGAGACTATATGCACCATGCTAGTTCGCAGGATGGCTTCTCGAGTCCTAATATTCTTCATCCGACATGCTTCTCTGGTGAGGCCTCTTTCTGAGTCAGGCAAGCTGAGGTTGGCAAGGGATATGGCAGAGCTTGAGCTCGCTGTTGGCCAGAACTTGTTTCCTGTCGAGCAGCTCGGTGCACCATATCGAGCACTTCGTGCTTTCCGGCCTGTCATCTTTCTGGAGACAGCTCAGCTTGGAGGGTCTTCACTTCTCAAGGATCTGCCACCAAGTGTGGTACTCCACCACTTGTATTCTCGAGGCCCTGATGAGTTGCATTCACCATTGCAGAGGAATAAGCTTACACCTCTTCAGTACTCTCTCTGGCTTGATTCACAAGGTGAGGATCAGATTTGGAAAGGAATTAAAGCAACCCTTGATGATTATGAGATAAAGGCCAGAGCTCGAGGAGACAAGGAATTTAGTCCCGTGTATCTGCTGATGCTTCAGATTGGTTCATCTTTGACTGAGAACACTTAGTTTCAATAGTGAGATTTGATATGATTTTCCATGAAGTTGTTATGATAGAGGCATACCCATAAACATTTTTCTTTGGTTTTGAAATGTTTTGTCTGCCCATTTCCTACATGGATCGCCATCATAGTGGCTCAGTTCTGGTAGTTGGCAAGAAATTTCAATGTAAATGAAAATTTCTGGACCTTTGCTTTTATATATAGGTTTTACATGGTCTTAATTCCATGTTAAGGTTTCTTCAGAACTTGTGTTCTCTGGAATGTTAATTGCTTTTACATCTTACATGTAGTGGATTATTTGGCGTGATTGTTGTTCAAAAATTTTCAAGCACATCAGATCGATTTTGGTTTTTACATAACATTACAGTATATTTTGTCGTAGTTATGACTCAGATTATATTTATTGTCATTTTGTATGCCAATTTTTATTATGAAAGCTTGTCATTATTGTAACTTAGGTGGTTGTAAACTGAGATGGCAATAGCCTTTTTTCATGCCATGGACAAAAGCAATTAGTTTGCAGATGCAAGGCATGTTCACACTCTGAGAGCAGCTGAGATCCATGCTATTCTCCAACCAGTTTAAATGCATATATATCTCCTTGCAAGCTTTTGTTCACTCTCAGAATGGCTTAAGAATCAACTGCACAGATGGAAGAGACATGCGAAACAAATTTGCTACATCATGACATGGCCACTTCTAGTTATTTGCATTGTTGTTATTTCCTTTTTTTACAGGCTGTGTTAAATTGTCGTTTAAAAAACTGCCAATGGTGAAGTTTGCTTCCTACCTCTCTTCTTTTCTCTGTCTGTTGTTCGCTTCTACACTTGCCGCTGTCTACCGGTACATGTCGACTTTATTTGTATTTTGGAGATTGTTTATGTTGTTGAGACCGTGGTTTGCTGTTGGGAAATGAAGCTAGCTATACTTACGCTGTGTAGAGGATGTTCCTTTTCCCTTCAGTATACTTTCCCCTATATGTTGATCCTGTAGTTTGTTTCTTTGGCAATGTTTGTTGTTTTTTGAGCATATTGGATTTCTTTTCTTTCTTTTTTATCCTTCAATTCATGCATCTTAAAATTCATAAGCTTTTATTGCATATTTTTGTTCTATTTAAATATATTCTCTTTTCAGACACTTGGTTCACAAAGATACCCTCCATTGGCTTTATGAAGAGGGATAAAACAAAACAGTGGTTCCTCATTTTCTAGATTGTTATCCTCAATCATCTTCCTGTTGCTTACTGGTTGTAAGTTTATCCGATGTCTATATTTTACTTTTTTATACTTCAGTTGTTGGTCATTCAAAGTAAATATTTTTGTCGTAATATATTGTTTGTTTGCCTCTAGGAGCTCCTCCAAGAAGCTTGACTCAAAGGAAGCGGGATTCTGCTATGAACTCCAATGTGCCAGTTTTGGAAGGTCAGTCTATTTTTTTTAGACAAAAACATAGCCTTCAGTTCAAATATATTAAGAATCACTTATCAGAAAAGTCCAGTGCTATATATCTAACCATATTGTATGGCATGGTTCCATACAAAACCCTCAGTTATTCAAGTGCTTAATTTGGATTTGTTCTTTCAACATGGATTTGGTAAGAAGGCAGGGTCTCTCAAAATCAAACTGAAACGAAACTCAGTTTCATTCTTCATTTCAACCTTTCATGCGTGACAGTGGAACCAGTCAATGTCTAACGCAAGTGCCCATGATGGCTGGACATGTGATGTGCATATACTTGCCAAAAGTTCTGTAGTTGAATTCTTCAAGGCAGATGGACCAAGTTAAGACAGAAATTGTTGATATAAAAGGAAGAGTAATCAGGAGTATCATTTTGACTTCAAAATGATATCAGGGTCAATTTTTATTTCTCTGTTAAGCCTGCTCTTATCACCTGCATTCAATTGCATTGGATTATAAAGCTTTGAAACACAACAAAGTGATCAGAATTTATGATGTTAGATGAATTTATCTTATTGAATTGGATGTTGTCTATGGGGATGAAGGGGAAGTGGATATGAAAGAAATCGGTAGGATTTGTCAAGATGTCTCATGATTCCCAGACAGTGGCTAGTTTGAAATCGTTATTGGGGGTCTTCCTGCTCATCATAAGCTTGAATTTGTGTTTTGCTGGTGTTCATCATAGATGGTTCTCAATGTTCATTGACTTCTCACAAATGTGGTCTCAGATGCTTCTATGAAGAAAGAAATCAAAAGAATTGCTAGCACCCGCAGCTATACAAGTTTGAAGAAACTATTTTCACTGTATGAGAAATGGTCGGATTCTATTCTTTCATCATAACTTATCTACAAAATGCAAAGGCAGGTATTTGATAATCTCTTTCCAATGGTTGGTCTTAATGCTCATTAATCCTTGTTATCCGATCATGTTTTGCCGCACTCTTATGTCGATGATTTAATAAAAAATACTACAATTTTCTGCTTTGGTACCCCAGGTTGCATGATGATATATTTTTTGTTGATTGGAAAAATTATACTGATGTAGGGATATCTGAACCTGGAAATAACAGGAACTCACCAATTAAAGCCACGATCTACAAAGGATAAGGCAGGATAAAGAAAAAAAGTCTTGAGAGAACACAAGAACTAGTTGCTATGAGAAGATGGTGGCAGTACACAATTATTTGATCTAGCAGGAGTTACCTGAGTTCCAACAAATGAAGAGCCAACTGGATAAATACTGCTCTGCTGTTGATGTACTCTGGGAATGAAGGCCCAAAGAATGATATTGTGGAGATAAAGATCAATTTTTTGCTCCACCAAATTGCAAATGGGAGACGAGAAGAAATGGATTTCAAGTATTTGTAGTTGGTGGTGATTCCACCAATGCAGATCGTTCAGCAGTTCATGAGGAATTCAAGAGTTTATTTCATGATAAATTCGAATATTCTCATTGTTCTCAAAACAAGTTACTGAATTCTTTATATTAAATATTTGATCTAAATAGTCAACTCCAAGTGCAGAATAGTTAACTCCTGCTATATGATACCTTGTTTTTGGGGTGGTTAAAAATAAGGTATCACATATAGGGTGGAGTTCAAATCATTTGAAATATTCATGAAAGGTTTGCATTTCACCCATATGGACTTGTATCATACATTTTCTAATTAAGAGATTTTATTCTATATTCTTTTATTTATTCAAATCTTAATATTTAATATTTTTAATTTTTTAAAGTAATTTTTTATTTCAACAAAATAGCATGGTCTCATATAATATTATTTGACATTTGAGCATCTAAATAGATAGACAACCCAAAATAAAAATTTGGTTTAGAAAAGGCAACTCTTGATATATGATATCCTATTTTTGAGGTGAAATAAAAAATAAAGTATTAAATATTTGAAATATTTGCACTACACCCATATATACATGTATCAAAGTTTTTTCTAATTTAGAGATTTTATTTTTATTTTTTGATTTATTCAACATCTTAATAATCTGCCCTTGTTCTATTTTCTCTATAATTTTCTATTTCAAACAAAATAACATGAATCTACGTAATATTCTTTAACATTTGAGCATCTAAGCGGACAACGATTATAAAAACTTAGCCAAAAAAAATCAACTCATAATATACGATACCCTATTTTTGGGGTGAAATCAAAAATAGAATATCCTCGGGAGATGTTCAAATCATTTGAAATCTTCATGAAATATTTTCTTTGAACCCATACGGACTTATATTATATATATATATATATTTTCTAATTTAGGGATTTTATTCTATATTTTTTGATTTAATCAGATCTTAAGAGTCTGCCAATTGTCTAGTTTCTCAATTATTTTTTTTTTATTTCCAGCAAAATAGTATGGACTCATGCAATATATCTTTGATATTTGAGCTTTTAAATAGGTTGATAATTGATGATAAAAAATTAGTCTAGGAAAGTAAACTCCTAATATACGATAACCTATTTTCAGGGTGAAATAAAAAATATAGTATCGCATATACAAAGTCCAAATCATTTAAAATCTTTATCAACATATTGTAACCCTATCCACATGTATCATACTTACACTAATTTAGAAATTTTATTCTTTATTTTTATGATTTATGATTTTTTTTATTTTTCTATATTTTTTCATTTCAAGCAAAATAGTATTGACCCATTGACATTTGAACATCTAAATAGGCAAACAACTTATGATAAAATTTGGTTTAGAAAAGTTAACACACACACACACACACTTTATATATATATAATTTATTAGTTAATGCATTTCTTTAGAAAGTATTCATCAGGTTTTGTTAGTGTTTGCGAATTCCTCTAAATGATAAGCAGAAGGAGAAAATATAAACTAAGAATTGGAATCTCTAAAATACACAGTAATAATACATGCTTATCAATAAGATCAATCTCTCTCCCTCTCTCTCTCTCTCAGTTGTTTTTTTGGTGATTATGATTTGGATGTTTGCACTGTGTCTTATCTGCGCATATATATGTTGGAACTATTTTGTTCTTGTCTTTTGTGAGTTCTTACAGTGGCTGTCTTCTCAGTAAGATCTTTCTTTTTTTTAGAGTGACAACCTCAGAGAAAACTTTACAGTGGAAGCACAATTAAAACATCCACTTTATAGTGGAAGCACATATATTATCCTCCTAATCATGATCGTAAAGCTTTGACTGCTTCTCTTCACTTTTTCTCTTAATCATGCCTGACTAGCTGTGGTGCAAAAGAAAGCTATATATCTAAGCCAACTTTCCAGTTTGCTTTTGGAAGATTCAATAGCAGATAGTTGTGGTGGACCTTTTGAGACTAAAAATGTGCTCAATCATATTAAGATCATCAAAAGAGAACAACTACTTGTTGCTCAAGCATGATTTCTCTAAAGCCTTACTAGAACTCAGAACTCATTGGTCTAATTAGCCTCCATCATCAGATATTTTACTCATGGTTGCAGTATCAGCATGTTTTTACTTGGAAACATATCTGTGATCTGAGAAACCCACAGTAGACACTAACTTAAGCACTAGCTCCCTATAATTCATGTAAATATTTCAGATGGTCACTTGTTGTGTGTTTTTGTTTTTTGTTTTGCATGTACCATTTCTGACTGGCATAATGATGTCACTGGATTAGGGTTCAAGACACTGCATCCATAATACTTATCTGTCAAGGCATTTTTCATGTGTTTATACAAGTTCGGATACTATCTCAAAAAGCATTTCAGTAGACTGCCAAATTTGATGGAGCTTAATAAACCTGGAAGAGCTGATGACTGGAGTTGCCATTCTTCCTACATGTACTAGATCCAGACAATAGAAATTTGGGCAAAAACAGTATCATTTGAACTTATCCATCTTAAAACAAGAAACATCATACATGCTTTGCCTACTTTCAAATGTTCTTTACATGCTTCTCATGTACTCCATATACTATGAGAGCAAAATAGCTGATCATGGACTTTGAGATTCCTACTGCAAAAACTTACCTTAAAGATGAAAAATGCATATATAAGCCCATCATTGGCAACCCCCAACTACTTTGAATGTAAGCAATGACCAGAATAATATGATTTCAATAGAATTCTTATACTGGATAATATGCATAAGTAGCACACACCATCTAAAAGTTCTAACCAATATAACATTACACTAAATCATAGTTTGTTCTTTTCCTCCCCCAAATTCACTACCTTTTGGCATAATCCTAGGGATTATGCCAAAACAACAATACAACACCACCAGAAGCTAAAATAAGCAATCTGCTGCATGATATTTTTGGCATAATGCTAGGGATTAGAGTTCATGGATATGTTTCAATACAATAGGTATGCAGGAAAAGCCTAAAAAGGGTAGATGCTGGTAATCCTATAGATATAAACAATCTGTTAGATCATCAAATATACAAAAGATGTCTTATCCAAGAGACATATTCTTTAATTCTCTAATTTTTTTTTATCATGAAGCAAGTAGCTTGCTTCATGATAATATGACAACATGGCTTGATGTTGAACTCCAGCACCTACTTTCATTGTCAATATATTGAGGGAGCAATCTTTGGAGGATGACAATTTTCAGGAAGCTTTTTTCCCATATTAGACAATAATAGCTGCCAGAAAAAACTCACAATGATTTGTTTTTCCATTCAGAAGATTAGTACTAATGATTGAACACATGACTTAGTAAACCACATTCAGCTGTAAGTTGAAGCTGACTATTCTCCTGGACAAATTCAAACAGCTTTGGAAGATATTTCCATCTATTCTACATAGTTGTTGAATGCATTTCCAGGAATATGGTCAACGAAGGAATAAAAAATCAACATGCTTCCAATAATGATTTAAACTACTAAATTTGTAGTACTACTTTTATTATTATTATTATTATTATCTTTTATCCAAAATCAACCAAGAAGATGCACATTTCAGATGACAAAATTACATACAGAAAACTATGTTCAGCTAATTTCTCACCAACTTGCATAAGCTAAAGTATCCTTCACATGAGTTTTATTACATGACTGTGTACAGTGAAATTATGACAGGCTGTTTTAGAACTTGGGAATACCACAAATCTTGGCATGATTGCAAAAACAGTGAAGGACAAGAATAGCTAATGGACTTGATTGAACTATACATAGTTGAGATGTTCTGAATCATGATATGTTTTCTCTGAACAAGGTTTGTTCATATATTTTACATTTTTGGTTGATGAAAAAATAAATATCAGCATCATTAGCAATAAAAAAATATAGAAAGGACTCCAGATTCTATGGAACTAGAACAAGAACATAAACCACTGTTAAAGGATTCATTAAACTTGTCTTAGAATGGCAAAATACAGATTATTGGTTCCAAAACATGTAAGCAACAATTAAATATAAGGCGTAAGCAAGAAGCTAAAGGTATTCATCAAACTTGTTTTAGATTGTCAAACAATATTTACAAATAAGATAATCTAAGCATCATCTCTTTCTTTATGTGTTTGTGTGTGTAAGACCTCCAAGTACAAGAGAAAAGAATGAAGAAAATACAGGAGAAGAAGGTAGAGGCAAACTACAAGAAGGCATTATTATGGAGCTAAAATTTCACCACACAAGTCTGCTACTGGGCTAAGATTACACAGTGCTAATAAAGCCACCATGTTCAAGAAAACACTGCCTTGAGCCTCAAAAGAGTCAACAAGAAGGAAAAAAGGAGAACACTATAAAAAGCACCCAAGTTGAGCAAACCTTAAGGCTGGTGTAGCGTAGTGTAGTCACACTCAGTGTTGCATTCATGCAAGACAATGGACATATTTGTCTACAGCTTACTGATTTCCTTTGTTTCACTAACATACTGTAAAGGGCCATAAAGATGGGGCTGTTGCATGGATAACCATGTAAAAAGGAAAGCCACTACTGAAGCTGTTGTGGAGAGCACTGCTCATTGATCTATCCATGTCAAAACACTGCTTCAGTAGGGCGGACAAGCAAATCACACCATTTAAAGGCAGTAGGCAAATGGAAACCCACCCTCATTGGCTTTGATGACCTAAAGTTATAGTTGCTCAAGTAATTAAGAGAGGCATTCTTCACTCAGTGCAGGAGAAAATTTACATGTCTAGAGAGAGAGAGAGAGAGAGAGAGGAGGGAGGT